CACTACTACTATGTCCGGTTGGTTAGCCATCACCAGTTTGCCCACCACAGAATCTTAAACTGGTTATTCTCAGCTACCCTTGGAGGGGTATCTAATTTGGACCTCTGGACTTCCACTCCATGCTCAGCAGAGATTACACATGTTCCTACATGTTGCTGCTCTATGACATCCACACTTTTACACAAATCTCCCTCATGCGCCTCCAGCATAAACATCCTGTATTAATTAATCTCTCACTACTGCAATAAAGAAAAAAATTACCTCTATGTTGAGCAGCCACGTCTGCAGGTTGGCCACAGCTTCCTCTCCCATTGCAAGGTTCCAGATGACCACATACAAAGCCTTATCAGTGAAGAAACACTGGTTCACGGTGGACATGCTGGCCTGACCACCAATGTCCCACACATTGAAAATCACAGAGTCTTTCTGTGGGCAACAGAATGAGAGCTGGGTCAACTTAGCATGAACTGAATTTGAGAAAAGGTGACGATGATCTCAGAACACAACTAACCAGTGCAAACAAACAAACACTGTAAATAAGTTTATTACTTTCATTAAAATTGAAAATAAAAGTGGATCCCTTTGAACCGAACCCCTTTGGTTTAACAGTCCAAAGAATTTCTTGTCAGAAATGATTTTCTTTCATGGTAGTGTTTAAGCTAATCAGAGCACAGTATGACTCCTTCTCCACAGAGATCAAGATTAAGAGTGTAATCGAGTAGTTGCAGTGACCGCAGTGCACTGAGTAGATGTTTTTATCTCTAAAATTGAGACCATATAAGGGTCATAAAATGATTAATAGAAATATCTGTGTGTGCGTGCATAAATACTACGTAATGTCTGTTTCCCTCACTTTGTTCTTGCCTCCACTGGGTTTATCCAGCTCCCAGATGGAGGTGGAGATGCTACATTCAGCTGGGGTGAAGGGGGAGGCTTTGCCAGTCTGCAGAGCCTCGAGGAGGACTGACTTGCCCTGCCGTGGCGGACCAATCACCAGCATCTTTAACAGTTTACAACGCTCTGCTTTTCGAAGCTGCGCCCGGAGGAAAGCCAGGACCGATGCAGCACCTGTGAAACCAGAGTTAGAGAATATGATCACATCTTACAAACCCAGCACACTTCACTTTACTTTTAAATGCAATGCTTAGAACTTATGCTAACCTTTTCAATTATTCATGTACATTTTTGAATTTTCACTCCTTGCATGTGTTTGTAAGGCAACATATGATGAGGTAAGAACCAATATAAATGTTACGAACAACAGACTATAAACCAAAAACCAAAAAAAGAAGCCGGCACATACAAACCCCTCGATTAGACACAGTCATTTTGAAGATGCGGGTGCAAATACCTTCTTTTCTTATTTCCTGTGGAACATTAGTAATGTTGAGGTCTTCGATGTCCAGCTGCCACAGACTGGAGAGCTGACCAAGCTCTGTCGGAAGCTCCCGGATTCCAGGATTACTGATTCCAGAGAAACTACATTAGTCAGATTAGTCATATACACACATGTATACGTATATAAATGTATATGTATATATAGATATATATACACGTGAAACATCACTGATAGAACCTAATGGGCCACTGAATCCCCCTGTGAAAGTCCAAATATATAGAAAAAACATAACTTCTGCACAATTTCATCATTCTTCAGAATAAATGACATTGAGAAATTTGCTGTTTGGATGAAACAACTAGAAACAGCTGCAGGAGGAGAACTGGATTCATGTGTGGAGCCATTAGAGGGCAGATCAAACTACTGATATAGAAGACTGTCCCCAGAAATGGTCCAAACAGGAAGGGGCACACAGTGAGATGGACTACCACATCCATACCATGTGAGAGATTATTTTCACTTTCTGGGCATGTTGTTCATCTGAAAATGTCAAAATGTTTGTCTGTTTGAGCAACAAACGTTGGTCTTTGACTGTAAACTAATGGGAGAGCTGCCGCTGACTCTGAGATCAGTTAAGACTTCGTATGAAAACACAGCTAGCAGTAGCAAGTACCTTCGGTGATTTGGCATTTGGGTGAGAGAAGGAAGACGGGACAAAAGACATGTTGTGGAAGAGAGCCAGCAGCAGTGTGAGAGTGAAGTGCTCTGATAGGGTGATATGGTACTTTAAGGTCACTAAGATAAGATGGGGCCTGATTATTGAAGATCTTGTATCTGAGAAGCAGAATTTTGAATTCAATTCTGGTTTTAACAGGAAGCCAATGAAGGGAAGCGAATACAGGAGAAATCTGCTCTCTCTTTCTAGTCCCTGTCAGGACTCTTGCTGCAGCATTATGGAGTAATTGGCCT